CACCCCACACACACACATACACACACACATATATATATATATATATATATATATACGAGAGAGAGAATATATAGATAAATACTACAGAAATGGATAAATAGAAAAAAACTAGCATATAGATGGAGAAACCCAGAGAAACAGACAGACTGACTGAAATTTACACAGAGACACGATTATATATATATATATATATATATATATATATATATATATATATATATATATATATATATATATTTTGGTGAATGAGGTTATTCTAAGGACGTAAATCGTGAAAGAAGTGATTCTTTTAAAGATACATAAATGCTGGCCCGTGACTTGAAAAGGTTAAGATTGCAAAGATCCTGAAAGCATCCTCTATTTCAAAACTGACAGTTCCGAGAAAGAATCTCTTTGAGTGGAACATCTTCCTTACTAAATTAACGGTGTTCAATATATAAGAAGATGGGGATTCGCGTTGCATTTAAATTTTTGAAGATTTAGTTATCATTGAAACAAGTAAACAGACGGGAGTTCCACAGACGGGCAGCTGTTACCCAGAGCTGGGCAGCACTTCAGTATAATTTTTTCAGTTGCCCCTCTGTGCTTTGATGGAGAAACCCCTGAGCACACTCTGTCCAGAGACAGAGACGCACTGAGAGATGATAAGTAGATGTGTACCTACTCAAAAAGAGTAGATATTTACTCAATACCCCCACGATGTCAGGTTGTGACACTAGGTCGGTTTAATGTGGGGAGGCCGAGCGGGTGCACCCGGGCAAGGAACAAAAATTCTCCGACCCCACGCAACCGTCGGTTGCGCTGGCCTCGGTGCTTGCATCGATCCTTCCCTTTAGTGTAATGTTTCCCATAGCCAGCACGTCTCAGTATAATTCTCCTCAGTTGTGACTCTGTCCTTTGACAGAGTCGCAACTGAGAGATGATAAGTGGATGTGTACCTACTCAAACGAGTAAGGTAGACACTCACTTATAGGTAGACACTTTTACTTATACTAAAAGAAAGGATGAGTCGATTCTGTGTATGTGGCATGTCGAGTTCTAGCTGCGAAGATCTTGACTGATGGAACTAATTTCTACTACTACGGTGTAAAACCAGGCGTAGACGTGTGATTTTTCTGTTTTATATTATGAAAATGGAATAATACGCAACATTTATTGGGAATACAACACCTAAATACGAATAGAAAAGCATCTGAGCAAAATACACAAATATAAAAAGAAGATGAAAAAAGAAATCATGTGACTTCTAACCGGACTTATTCAACTTTTACAGACATATAATGTTTTTAGATCGTAAGAATGTTTTTTTGGAGATAATAATGATTTCCTGATTCCAATCCTACTAATTAACCCATAGCGGGAGGGAGAATAGGTTGATTCGTAACATTCCCAAGTATATTTAATACTAGCAGGCTTCGTAAGAATATATCTTACTCGCAAAGTAAAATATATTCACTGTTGAAATCTTTGAAACAAAAATTCTAAATGAACATATCACTCATAAATTGGCTTGTTATAGATAAGAAAAGTTTTACAAACAGATGCCAACTTGTTAAAGGCCAAGTAAAATGCAAATTTCAAACACTTTTCTCTACTATATAAGAAGATATTCTTTAACAGAACTATTTTTTATGAAAAACAAAATAATCCTCGAATAAAAGAACAGTAATGAAGGACAGTTAATTAATGAAATAAACGTTTTAAAATCATTATGCAAATTAGTTTAACCTAAAGAATGAAATTGCATAGAATTAGATAATATATGATACAGATGTTGAGTGTTGACTGCTAATTACTGTAAATTGTGAGTGCCTACCTTACTCGTTTGAGTAGGTACACATCCACTTATCATCTCTCAGTTGCGACTCTGTCAAAGGACAGAGTCACAACTGAGGAGAATTATACTGAGACGTGCTGGCTATGGGAAACATTACACTAAAGGGAAGGATCGATGCAAGCACCGAGGCCAGCGCAACCGACGGTTGCGTGGGGTCGGAGAATTTTTTGTTCCTGCCCGGGTGCACCCGCTCGGCCTCCCCACATTAAACCGACCTAGTGTCACAACCTGACCTCGTGGGGGTATTGAGTAAATATTCACTCTTTTGAGTAGGTACACATCTACTTATCATCTCTTAGTTGCGTCTCTGTCTCTGGAGAGAGTGCGCTCAGTGGTTTCTCCATCAAAGCACAGAGGGGCAACTGAAAAAATTATACTGAAGTGCTGCCCAGCTCTGGGTAACAGCTGCCCAAAGCCGCGACCTCCCATTACACCAGAGGGAGGGATCAGTGCTCGCACCGAGGCCACGGCAACCGACAGTTGCGTGGGCTGAGGGGGAATTTTTGTTCCTGTCCCGGGTGTCCGCGCTCGGGTCCCCACCTAAAAATAGACCTTGTGTCACATCTCGTCCTAATGGAGTGAGGGTCAAGTAAATACCGTGTAAATTATTGTAAAGTAGATTTAGGTCTTTTTAATGTCAGAATTCGTTGGACAATTGACTTCGTATTTATTTATAGAGATAGCATAATACATAATATAGATACCTTAATACAGGTTTTTATTAATTAGTTATTAAGTCTTTTCTAAGTAAAATGTTGAATGTATAACTAATTCTAATTTCTATTTACCCATCTTTACGCTATATTAATTTTATCTTATAAATTATCCCCCTGTTCTCTAATCCTTGAAATAAAAATAATTGTTTGTACGGAAAGTAAGGATCTACGTACATCAAATCGTCTTCGAATTAAGTAGCAGCAGAAGAATTATCGTTGAACTTGCAAACGATAAGATTAAACGTTAATTCAATACTTAAATGCAGTGATCAATTTTGAGTTCTTCTGTAGTTTATTGATGCCTATTGCATCTACTCCTCCCTAGCTACTGTGATGTTGGCCAAAACAAGTGTCCTCCACAAGAGCTAGCTTAAATAGGGTGACTAGCTTATAATTTTTAGCTAGCTGTAAGTTTTCATACAAAGGGGAAATAAGAGTTACTTCCCTTGAAACATGGAAGCAACGATAATTGCTAGTATAATATATTATATATGTTTTTAACCTTGCATAATCTGAGCTCAACGAAAATCGTTTCCAGCGCCTAAATTTTCTAGGGTTTTTTCATGAGCTATGAATCATTGAAAGCAGTGGGAGTAGAGGAGTTGCTTGGACACACGCACAAACATACACACATATATTTTACTTTATATATAAGACAATGAACCCGACTGGTATTGCAACTCGGCTCTCCGATTTACTTGCTCATTACACTGCACGCATTTCCAAGCTTACAACACCGGTTCTTCATAAGTGATCACCCATCTAGTTACTTAACTGGCTCAACATTGCTGAACTTCGGTGATCGTAGACACGTTTAGATCATATTTCAGCAAACACAACTTTGTCAGTAAAATAACGCTTGAAAGTTGCTGACGAGTTTACTTCGTTCTTTTAGTTTATTTTTTTTTTTTAATTATTTTCTGTTTTTAATTTTGATTCATTTTCGATGTGTGAGCGGCTCGACTTCCGAATTCAAGTTTCAAAGACATAGAACGCGAACGCAAAACTTAACAAAGACACAGAATCGGCGAATTCATTGCAGACAAAAGTTTCTGAACAACGGCATCAATGACAATAAAGGACTCATGTGTACAGCAGTAAATTTCAAGGAACTCTGTTTTTGAAAAGCAGGAGAGTGAGGCGGTAGATGACTGACTAAAAAGGAGAATAAGGGGAAGGGAAAAATTTTGGATAAACATATTTACTGAAAATTCTTCCAAATGACATGCATATTAGACAAGCCGGTAAAAGTAACGAATTCAAATGATAAGAGTGTGAATGAAGAAAAAAAGCCGACGTATTCTAGCTCCATTGGGTATTCCGGTGAGAATGAAAAAAGAAAAAATAAGCAAGTTCGATCCATTATTTTCTTTTCCAATATATATTGTAGCTCTCTTCATCCGTTTTTTTTTTTGTTGTTGTTTTTTTTTTTTTTACAAAGAAGAAAATCGGGCGTAGGAAAATGTCTACAAAGAAAGGGCACGTTTCCTTATTATTTGATGTTAAAATCAGTAAAGCGCTGAATACTTTCCACCATTTTCTAATCAGATTCTGTTTGTAAAGCAAGAAAAGAAAAGTTTCACTAACTAAAATCAAAAGAGAACGAAAGAAAAAAATAACAAAGCAAAGAAAAAAAATTATATATGGTCTCCATTAACACAAGGAAAAAAATGGCTGACGAATTTAAGAGTTCCGAGGTCACGTGGTACATTATTCAACATGGCTGCGTTTTATCACGTTGAACATGCTCGGCTTTAAAATTTGAAAAAAAAAGTTTTCGTTTTTTTGCTTCACTTTGCTTACGGGGGTTTATGAAGAATGATAATATTGATAGTTTTCAAGTAATAACAATGAAAAGAAAAATAACTTTGGCTGTGATACGATTAAAATATTAAGAGTGAAATTAAAATTAGATATACAAAAAGAGGTTAGTGAAAAGAAATAATAATAATATTATATATAATAAAAAAACATAGCAAATAGTAATGATAACATGAGAAAATATGTAATAATAATAATAATAATAATATTAATTATTATTATTATTATTATTATTATAAGAAGAAGAAAAGAAGAAGAAGATTGATATGTAGAAGTTGCAAAGCGTCAAATAAACTCCAAATTAATAATAATAATAATATTAATAATAACAATGATCACCAAGAAAAGACGTAGAAGAAAATAATAATAATAATAATAATAATAATAATAATAACACTTTTAATAATAATTAAAAGAAGAAAATTGAGATGTAGAAAATGGAAGACGGAAAGAATTAATAATAATACTATACATAATAAATAAAAGAACATAGCAAAGAGTAATGACAACATAAGAAAATATATTATATATAATAATAATAATAATTATTATTATTATTATTATAAGAAGAAGAAAAACTGAGATGTAGAAGATGAAAAGCGTCAAACTGTAAATTATTATTATTATTAATAATAATAATAATAATAATAGTGAGAAGAAAGAGCTGTAGAAGAAGACGAAGGTAGCCAAGAAGAAGGCGGCGAATAAGGGCAATAATAATAATAATAATAATAATAATAATAATAATAATAATGATGATGACAAGAAAAAGAAGAAAAAGGAAATGTAGAAGAAGACAAAGGTAGCCAAGAAAAAGACGGCCAAGAAGGATAATAATAATAATAATAATAATAATAATCCCCAAGAAACAGACGCAGAAGAGAATAATAATAAGAGCGATCATAATCATAATGAACAGAAGAAAAGTGAGATGTAGATGGGAGACGGGAAGACAACGACCTACATAATAATAATAATAATAATAATAATAATAATTTAACCCGCTTGTATGAGGTTGCAAGGTATTGCACCCACTAAATATGAACCCCAGCACGAGAGTGTTAGCCAATATCTGCACTGGAAAATAAGTAACTTTCACCGGAAGGGAACTGCAAGAAATTGGTATGAACACCACTCAGATCCGGTTAGAGCCATCGGACATTTAAAAACTTAATGGGACTTTATAATATACACAGACAGAACAATCAAAACTAATCGCCCAGACATCGTGATGAGAGACAAAAAAAGAATACGCTTTCTTATTGACATGGCTGTCCTTGCAAACTGCAATGTATTTTTGAAAATCTTCAAAAACTCAAAATACCAGCATCTTAAAATGGAAATCTAAAAAATATGGCACGTGAGGACATCAACAATTGTAGTTGGAGATCTCGGTTTAATTGGAAAAAGTTCCGATACACTTCACTGAAGGGATCCCTGTTAGCCCATGCCTTAAATAAATACAAAAAATTGTATTCACAAGTACGGCTCAAAACTGACGTAGGCCTTTAGCTATGTAAAATGTGTGTGATAAAAAAATTGAGTTGTAGACGAGGAAATTTGCCAAGAGAATACGTGCTGATTAATAATAATAATAATAATAATAATAATAATAATAATAATAATACAAAGTAAAAGAGAAAGTGTTTAATCATGGATACAAATTTTTAAATTACTTATTTGACATGGGTGATATCAAACTCTTTGCCAAACGACAACATGATGAAGCGTATCCTCACAACAGTAAAATGTATCAGTGATGACATCTGTATGGATTTCGAATTAGATAAATGTACAAAAGTAACATTCAAGAAAGAAAGTATTACACAATAACACTCAATAGATTTAGATTCTGTCACAAATATTAGAGAACTGGAATAAGAAGAACCTTATAATTTTGCTCTCGCTCCAACTCTCTGTTAACCCCTTGCATGCTAGTGGCTTTCCCGCCTTGCTTGGGGTGAAACACTTTTTTAAAAAAATACCTAGGAGCCAGCGAAGGAGATGGAATACAGTATACTAAAATGAAGGGGAAGTTGAGAAAGGAGCAATATAGACGTGTGAGTTACTGAAACACACTTAATAGATTTTGACACAAATATTAGAGTAGAACAAGAAGCTTAGAAATACCTATGAATCAGATAAGGAGATGGAATACAGCATACGAAAATGAGGGAGAAATGAAGAAAAGAATGCTACAGGCGTGTGAGTTTGGTATTAAGAACCAAATTGAATTCACGAAAGAAAATATCAGTCATAAATATTTTAGCTGCCCCTGTGGTGAAATATAGTTTCACCAGTCTAAACTGGTGCATAAACAACATTAATTGAATAGATGTTAAAACGAGAAAGCTTCTCATTTGCCACCGCGTGCGTCATAATAACGCTGATGTTGACCGTCTGTACGTGTCCAGATCTGAAGGAGGTAGATGTTTAGTTCAACTAGAACTATGTTACAAAACTACAAAAATCGATCTTCAAAAGACAGATGGATGATGATCTGTGTGAAAGAAGATGAAATAAATAACTTTATTCAATAATAAAGGAAGCCAAGAAATTCAACATTCAAGAGGATGAAGAAATGCAAATTAAACCATGATACACCTATTGCAGCTGCAAAGAACCTAACAAAGAAACAAAGCAAAATCAAATGCAATGTACCAAATGCAGAAACGATGGCAAGATAAGCCTCTTCATGATCAATACTCTTCCCGTACCAAAAAAGTTGATGGAGACAAACCCTGGACCCATCAGTTGTTATATAGTGCAGGGTTAAAAATCTGAAACCGAAGGTTTTATACTAAACTAGCAGCATGGACCAGCGTTGCCCGTGCTTGATTAAAAAATAGTACGACTCATACAGCAATCTCTATCACATGACATAAAATATTTTTGCTCTTCCTTGCCTTTAAAGGAGTGTCCTTTGCCGTGCTAATGTTGCTACATGCCTTACTTCTTGCCTATCTCACACTGCGAAATTTTTCTAAGCTCTATGCTAAACATTAAATCTGTTACGAAAGAAGAACTAAACAAAATGAACGCAAAACGATCAGCTTTAAAAAAGGACTCGTAACTGGAAAAACCGAATGAAAAAAGAATGTTAACAACAAATACTTTTTCACACCCAACCCAGTTCTGCGGAATCAGAATCAACGTTGAGTTTAAGCAAGCGAATGAGCCAATTGGAGTAAAGTGCCATGCAGATTTAAATTTTTCCCACTTGTGACGAATGCAGCTATTGATTTTTTTTTTTGCGTGCTAGCATGCTAGTTAACATTCGTGTCAGTCAGCTGTTGGCTCTCACGCTGGCCAATATAATCTTCCTGCCTATTCGTGGCAGGTAACTGTAGGCTCTCACTCTGGCCAGTACAAAATGGCCGCAAACTACATGAAAACTGCCGTAGAAGCATGAAAAAATCGATTATTTCCACTATAGATATGAGTTGGGAAATGCAATGTCGGTCTTGGCCTTTCTGTTAACTTAGAGCATGTGCATGTAAATTTTGGTGCAAATCCGTCGTAAATTGCGGCCGTGCATTCGTTACACACACACACACACACACACACACACACACATCCTGCCTTTTATAGATAGTGATCCGGTGGCCCGGTGTTAGTACCGACTGAAAAGAAAACCCAGCATGATACAGGGGCCAATATTTGTGTCGAAAAATATGCAATTTTTACTAGAAGGAAACTGCAAGAAAATTATTTGAACATTACACTGACCCTGTCAGAGAGGTAAAAACCTGTAACAATTTTAAGGGACTTTACAATACACACAGACAGAACAATCAAATGATCCCTGGCCTTAGAGAAATACAAATATTGTACTCACAAATTTAGCTCAATAGTTTACGAAGAGCTTTGTCTTTGAAAATATGTGTAATGTCAGGTTGTTTTTTGTTTGTTTTTTTGTCAAAACATGCTCAATATTTCCATGTTCTTTAAATCATTGTCGTTGCTCACATGTTCCATCTATGGCATTTTCAGCATCCTTCAGTAGAACCACTTTTATGTTGCTTCAAGTCTCCTCTTCATCGGTGGGAGGATTGCCTATCCTTCCGTGTCATAATTGACCGACTACGGGTCCTTTATGGTTATAGTTGTTTGTGGTAAGAGACAAGCGAACCTGGCTCAGGACACATCCGCATGCAAAACAGGAAGTGCCAGACAGATGGAACAGGACAGTTCAGCTTTCTTTAACTTCTGTGGAATATGGTAACAGAAGACCGATATTTACAATATTTACATTGTTGGTACTGTTATCCTCATCTTTATTTCCATATTCTCGATGTTTCAGTTGTTACGAACTTCAGCCTTCACCAGACGATATGTGTTGAAATTTCCCTTTATTTAGTCAACGTTGTAGATTGCTCTTATTCCACGTGCCATGCCCCCCTCTTTTGGGATATCTCAGTTTAATTCTCTTTAGTAATTCAATACGCCATGTTTTTGATCCCTCTGCTGTGGTCAGGTATTGAACGCACGACTCTTTGAATCAAGTCAATTTTTGGATTACTTCACCCAACGGTCTTATCCACTGGGCCATGTCTCTGTCTCTCTTAAAAGATTCTTAGAGCATTTTAATGGCTAGTCTGTGAACAGGCGATTTTGTTTCTCTTATTCTACTACTTCTATGTGCCATGTCCCTTCATCACGTTGGCGATCATAGCTCTCCACAATTTCCTCTCCTTTGTAGCTCATAATAATTGTTGTGTTTTTGCTATCTCTCCTAAACCCAGTTCTGCCATCCATTTACCCAAGCTCCTTCTTTTTCTGTGGGCTGTGTGCCTTCATTACGTTGGCGATCATGGCTCTCCACAATTTCCTCTCCTTTGTAGCTCATAATAATTGTTGTCTTTCTTTCTACCTGTTCTACCATCTATTTACACAATGTCCTTCTTCAATGTGCCGTGTCTATTCATCACGTTGGCAATCATAGCTCTCCACAGTTTCCTGTCCTTTGTAGCTCATAATAAACTGCCTTTTTATTAACTTGCCTAAATCCAATTGTGCCAACCTTTTAGTCAAGATCGTTCTTCTTCAGTATGCCGTCTCCCTTCATCACATTGGAGATCATGATTCTCCACAATTTCCTGTTTTTTTTTTTTAATTTTTTGTCGCTCTTAATAACTTTTGTCCGTTTTCCATAGCTCCCAAACCTTGTTATGCTATCCATTTACGTAAGCTCGTTAGATAGGAAATTCCTCTGTCCCTCTTACTTTCATTAAATCCTGTGGGTATTAGTTTCTCTAAACCCCTTTCCCCAATATGCGCCCCAGAAGTTTCAAATGTAATTTCCTGATATTAAGTATAAGGGTAGTTTCTGTTTCTGTTCGTTTTAAAACTTCGTCATTGCTCACGTTTTCGATCGATGATATTCTCATCATGCTCCTGTAGAACCACATTTTTGTTGTTCCAAGACTCTCCTTCATCTGCTGCTTGGTCGATTTTAATTAGCGGCATAGCAAACTGCATGGGTTACTTAATGCCAAAATCTAAATATTTTGAATACAATGTTATGTATTCAACTAAATATATTTCGCACACAATTGTATACCTTCAACTATAGATAAAATGTATTGTTGGTCATTTTGCCTTAGAAATTTATTATTGGTAATTCTACCATAAATATCTATCGTTATACATTTTTTCTTTAAAAATGTATTGTTTTAAATTTTTCTATAAATATATATTGTTGGTCATTTTACTATAAAAATGAATAGTTTGTGATTTTACTATAGGTGTATTGATTTTAATTTTACTACAGATATGTAATGTTGGTCATTTTGGTATAAATATGTCTTGTTTGTAATTTTTCTATAAATATGTATTGTTGGTTATTTTCCACATTTTAATGGATGTCAGTTACCTCCTGTTAATTCCCGTCTCCAAATTCTCCACTGCTTTAACCAGGTATTGAACTCACACTCTTTGGGACCTGTCACTGGATCAAAACAACGCCTTTATCCACTGTGCCATGTGTCCTTGAGGACGTCTGTACATGAATTTCTGGGTATTATAAACCTAATATCTTCAGCAACCATTTCTACCAGTACTCATATTGCAATTTTTGCTGTTATCATTTATGTTTTTACCAGACCTCATATTGCAACTTTGTTGTTATTATCGCTTTTCTCTGGCACTCCTTATTACTGGTTCCCATATTGTATTTATTTCTATGCTTGGTCGGCTCAGGAGATTTTTTTGGCCTAGCATATGTGCTGATTCCTTAAGTTTACGAATTTTCCAATGGTGTCCCTTGTCTATGAACTCAACCTGATCCCACAGAGGGCGGTGATCTCCCTTCTCTCTCAGCCACGCCTGATTTTTCCACTTCTCCTCGTGTTACAGCTTCCTGGTGATCTTGAAGCCTTACCTTTAGGGAGCGGCTTGTCTCTCCTTTATATTCCTTTCCGCAGCTGCACGGGATAGCGTACACACAGACTTTAGTCATTTTCTCCTCTATGGGGGGGGGTCTCACTCGGGAGAGATTTCTGCGAAGTGTCGGCAAGCTTTTGAAGGTTGTCCTGATGTTATATGGACCGCAGATCCTTTGTATTTTCTCTGATAACCCCTTCACATAAGGCAGGCAGACTGTTTTCTGAGTGTTGTTGTCCTCCTCCTCTATCCCAGATTTTTTTTTGAGGGGGTGCTGCCATGTCCCCAGGGTAGTATTGCTGGTCATTTTACTTTCAAATGTATTCTTGGTAATTTTAGTATAAATATGTATTGGTACTAAATTTTTCATACCTAAATGCATTGCTCGTGCCTCTACTAAGACCTCTAATATATTTTTATAATTTCATGGCATCTTGTTTTTGTTTGGGGCTCACTCTTGGCCCTTAACTGGGGCCCTAACAAGTACTGCCACACCGGGTTAGGGTTGACCTGAGAACAACATCAATTAAGATGTGGTCTTCCGCAAACCTCTAATCTCCAGATTTCTGTCCTTGCTGTTGGATGTAGTTTATCGCCATAACCGAGACTACATCTTTATCTGTAACGGTCAGATAATAATAATTCAAGATTACTCTTCTTACCCATTAACAATGTGCCTCCCTTTAAGGCGTTACAAATTTTAGGAAATTAAATTTCTTTTTTCTTTTTTTAATTATTTGATAAATTGAATCAATAACTTAATAAATCAATTAAATCAATAAATCGATGAAATCAATACAAACTACATCAGATACTATCGGGCAACTAAATTGTAATATAATAAAAAACATCTGTCTACATTTCTGAGATGAGGTATTATGTACACTGTTTACATTATTCGAACTATTGTCCTCATCTTTGTCGCCATATTTATCACAACGTTTCGGCCGTTGTACGCTCCGGCCTTATTCAGGTGGTTGGAATGTCGATCTCAACCCTTTATTTCGCTCACTTACGTAGACTGTTCTAGTTCCACGTGCCATGTCTAATGGATATCAGTTATCAATTATCTCCTGTTAATTCCCCTCTCCAAGTTTTCCACCGCCTTAACCAGGGATTGAACTCACTCTTTGGGTCCTGTCACTTGATCTAACTAACGCCTTTATCCACTGTACCATGTGTCCTTGAGGACATCCATTAACATGGCACGTGGAACTAGAACAGTCTACCCAAGCAAGCTAAATAAAAGGGTTCAGCTCGACATTTCAACCAGCTGAAGAAGACCAGAGCGTACAACGGCCGAAACGTTGTGATAAATATGGCAACGCTGTATAAACGGGATCGTGTTTGTCTACCTCCTCGTACGAGTTCCTCTCTGCCCGAAAGCAGAGAGTTCAACCGTATAGCTGAAAAGATTCTGCTAGTCAATATTTACTAGCCCCACCCCACGAGGATAGATGTGGCACAAGGCCGAGTTTAACGTGGGTCTTTCGAGCCCATAGGACCCGCATAAACAGGGTCAGGTCAATCTACTTCCTCGAACGAGACTCTGCCCTTCAGATTCCAGTTAGACGGTATCTAGCAACTGCCCCACGCAGCCATATGTAGCACAAGGCCAAATTTGATGTGGGGTTCTCGAGCCCGTAGGATCGACCCAAAAATCTCCATCGACGCCATATAAAGGGCATCGGGTTTGTATATCTACTCGTGTCGAGTTCCTCTCTTCTCAGAGGCAGAGAGTTCGACCAGCAAGCCGAAAAGATTCCAGCTCGTTGTGGTCGGATGTGGCACAAGGCCGAATTTAATGTGGGGTATCCGAGTCCGAAAGCTCAGCCAAAAATTCCCCATAGACCCCGTAAAAAAAACGGGGTCGGGTCGGTCTACCACCCCAGACGAGACTCTGCCCTTTGGCATAGCCACGTCTGGGTTACACTCCGCCCGAAAGCAGAGAGTTCAACCGTATAGCTGAAAAGATTCCAGGTAGAATATTTAGCCCCCCCCTACAAGGGTTGCATGTGGCACATAGCCGGTTTTAACGTGGGTTCTCCGAGCCCGTACGTTCGCCCAAAAATATCCCCTTTCGAACCCGTATAAATGGGTTCAGGGTCAGTTTACCTCCACGAACGAGACTCTGCCCTTCGGTGGAGCCTCGTCCGGTTCCTTCTGTGCCCGAGGGCAGAGAGTTCGACTGAAACAGATCCCAGCTAGTATATTTAGTATCCCCACACGAAGGGTTGCATGTGACACAAGGCCGGTTTAACGTGGGTTCTCCGAGCCCGTAGGCTCAGCCGAAAATATTCCCTTTCGAACCCGTATAAACGGGTTCAGGTCAGTCTACCTCCCCGAACGTGACTCTGCCCTTCGGCGGAGCCTCGTCCGGGTTCGTGTTTGGCAGAGAGATAGACTGTCTACCTGGAACGTTGACTTAAGATACTTATAAGTAGTTACTCCCTATAGTGTAGTCACTCATGGTGGTAACAGGTTATTCCATAACATCATAATAATAATTCAATATTACATCTCGATTAATAACGCCCCTCACTTTAAAGTTTTAAGCGTTTTAGACTACTAAAGATTTAACAAATACTTCGATATGTCCATGGAAGATAGCCTTCATGAAAATGGAGTTGTACATGGATTTCACAGATTGCGATGTTTCTTGGTTCTGGTGTTGGATAATGGATTCAAAAGAATTGTGGGAGAAAAAGAGGAGTGAAAAGGAGGAGGAAAATGTGTAAGGACAAAAGGGAATAAAAGGAGGAAGAAGAGAGTGCGGAAGGAAAAGAGAAATAAGAAGGAGGAGGGGGAAAGTAGGAGGTAAAGAGGAATAAAAGTAGGAGAAAGACGTGGAGGAGAAAATGAGAAATAAAAAAGTAGTGGAGGAGAAAAAAAATAAGAAGTGGAGGAGAACATGGAAATTGAAACGCCGGAGGTGAGGAATGTGGAAAAGAGAAAGCTGAAAAAGAAGAAAAAGAAAAAGCAGAAGAAGAAGAAGAAGAAGAAGAAGAAGAGGAGGAGGTGGAGTAGAAACATCCAAAAACATGGACGTCAAAGTTTAAGTAAAGGATAAGGTAGAGCAGAAGGAAGATTTAAAAAAAGAAGAAAAAGGTGGATAATAATAATAATAATAACAATAATAATAATAATAATAATAAGAAGAAGAAGAAGAAGAGATGCAGCAATAACAACAACAATAATCAGAAAAATAGACGATGAAGAGACAAAGATGGAGGAGAGAAAGAAGTAAAAAGTGGAGGAGGAAATGAAAGAAGGACAAGAAGAAGAAGAAGAAGAAGAAGAAGACGAGAAGGTGGAGTAGAAACATCCATAAACATGGACGTCTAAGTGGAACTGAAGAACAAGGTAGAATAGGAGAAAAAAGTGGAGAATAATAATAATAAGAAGAAGAAGAAGAAGAAGAGGATGAAGATGAAGAAGAAGAGAAAAATGAAGAAGAAGAAGAAGAAGAAGAAGAAGAAGAAGAAGAAGAAGTGGAAGAAGAAGAAGAAGAAGAAGTGGAGGAGGAGGAGAAGAAGAAGGAGAAGAAGAAGGATTTTTTATACAAAAATGATCAGAGCAAAATATCATGAAACCATTTCTGAACTGAGGAAGGAAATGTATATACAACGAAAAGAATGGGAAATATAGACGTAAGGGATAAAGGACGACGAAAATAATAATAATAAAAATAATAATAATGAGAAGAAGAAGAAGAGGATGAAGATGAAGAAGAAGAGAAAAATGAAGAAGAAGAAGAAGAAGAAGAAGAAGAAGAAGAAGAAAAAGAGGATGAGGAGGAGGAGAAGAAGAAGAAGAAGGATTTTTTATACAAAAATGATCCGAGCAAAATATCATGAAACCATTTCTGAACTGAGGAAGGAAATGTATATACAACGAAAAGAATGGGAAATATAGACGTAAGGGATAAAGGAGGACGAAAATAATAATAATAAAAATAATAATAATGAGAAGAAGAAGAAGAAGAAGAAGAAGAAGAAGAAGAAGAAGAAGAAGAAGAAGGAATGACTGTAACAAATGCTAGATTTGAATATCAGAAGAAGAAAAGGAAAACAAGAAGACAACAATCTAAAAACAGCTGGAAGCATAAAAGAATATTGAGAAAGAGAAAATCGCTCTAAGTACACCATTCACAATGATGGAAGTCTGGTCAAAATGAAATAGGCTACCGTGAACCCATTTTTTATGACGGAAAATGAAATAAAAGAAAACGAAGATATGAAACAAAAATATAGTTCGAGCAAAATTTTACGCATTTCTTCGTAATATAACAAAGAAACCGAACACACCGTCTATGTGCACATATGTATCTTTCCTCCTGAGGCAATGTCCGGACAAAAGCAAGATGGCGTTTAAGGCAGCCATGTTTGCGTGATGGCCGGATATTCATCACTTTCTTTCCCGTCAGCAGTTCCCTTGTTCCTTCTTTCGCTCAGTTCCTCCGCCAGCTGTCCCCGCTAGCAACAATTCTTTCTTTTTCTCTCACTCTCTCTCTCTCTCACTCTTTCTCTCTCTCTCTCACTCTTTCTCTCTCTCTCTCTATCGATTCTGAAAGCATTTTTTCTTTGAAAAGATGTTTAGCATTTTGTTTTCCTGTTATATTTACCCGTCAGACATAGATTCTGTTTGTTGATTCGGAAGTTAAAATCGACTAGAGTAACATTAAACATTCACCAGCAATATTAGTCAGCATTATATTGAGTCGCGAGGAAATTGTTCTCAAATCAAGAATGTTTGTGACACCTTGTCATGCGCAGGGTGTTTGATTCTGGAGTTGTGTAGGGACCATCAGGAGTATTGCTGCCACATCACAAAATTTAGCAAGAGTGTCTTTGTTGTAGCATATCTACGGACGATAATGGCTATGACCCCATTCACATAAATACATTAGTAAATCATGTATGTTGGTCTGTAGTTGGATATTCGTCTCCAGCTGTGTTGGCCTTCTAGCAGATAGGATACCCAGACGAGACGATATCGAGTGGCAGAGTTTCGTCTCGCGAAACAGCTACTACGGGGAAATTTTGGATGTGCCTACGGGCTCGGATACCCAACATTAAATTCGGCCCTGTGACACATCTCATCGCGTGTGGAGGTTAGTAAATATACTAGCTGGAATCTTTTCCAGCTGTGCTGTCCGAACTCTCTGCCTTCGGGCTGAGAGGAACCCGGACAAGGCTATGCCAAACGGCAGAGTCTCGTCCGGGTGGTAGACAGACCCGATCACGTTTATTCCTGGTCTACGGGAATTTGGGGGCCTTGAGCTACATCTGACCGCAGTTGGGGCGGTTGGTAGATAGCCTGCAATTGGAGACAAATTGTGGAATTCACTTGAACCACATCTAGCAGTTGACAACTATTTCTACATACGCCTGGCGAATCTTATATGTGTTGTTCTTGTCGTAAGTATTATCGTTCATTACTAACCTTTGTGGGATTATTCTATTCAGTAACCTTACCTAGGTTACAACAGTCTGGAATTCCATGTGACTACAGAACAATTATGTTTTTGTTTCTCATAACCTGCATTCAATCAGTTAAAATGAGGAAATTCGTCGGCAAGGACTAAGTACTATTTTCCGATTGTATATCTTATTCAATTTGCATTCTCTAAAGGTATATTCTGAGAACTTTAACACCCCCCACACACACACACACATATATATATATATATACTTCCAGATATATATATTCCTCAATCGAAGCCGCTATCCATTACTCCACCATGCCTCCATACATATATATATATATATATATATATATATATAGATAGATAGATTGATTGATCATATTAATGGTAAATATACACAGACACACGCAAAATATATAGATATATATACATAGGTGCATACACATATATGTATATTTTTTGAATAAAAAATTCCGAGAGGATAGAATCCAGGTAGAACTCAATGTCCAGGACAGAGTAAGGATATAATAAAAAGGCTTAAACACTAATATTCCGTGGTCATAATTTATTCCATTGGAATTGTAAATACGATCCAATTCATCAGACCTACAAATTCAAAAAGAAAACAGAAAAAACAACTCCGGAAATAAAAACAGAATTTAGAGAGAGTCTAGAGAAGGAGGGAGATTAAACCTTAGCAGAGAGAATTTTAGGAGAGGTGAGTGGAAGGGGTTTAAGTAAGAGAAAAATGAATGTTGTCGGATGTCTAATGCATAAAGATACATTTCGTGGTGACATACACACACCATAGACGTTTAAATGTTGAAGACCAGAATAAGAGGGAGGAAAAGACGAGGTGGGGAGAGAGATGGGGCGAAGGAAAGTAAAATTGAACTATATTTACTGAAAGGGCTGCTGTGTAATTGAGAAAATTTGACAAATTTAATATCGACTACACACACACACACACACACACACACACACACACACATATATATATATATATATATATATATGTATATATGGAGGCATGGTGGATAGCGGCTTCGATTGAGGACTCGCAGAGCTGAGTTCGAATTCCAGTCGAATACATTACATTCATTTACGTGCTAATACCCTTGGGTAAGGTACGAATCCTCTTCTTTTCCCTCCAGCTATGGGTAAAATAGCAGGACAGACTGGTTTCTATAGCCTTGGATGGCAACTGGTCTAGGAGAAGGACAGCTCTGAACTGAAAACCTGCGGAGGGTTTTGTGACACCGAATATCAAAAGATTCACTCAACTCTGCACTCTAATATATATATATATATATATATATATATATATATATATATATATATATTTGAATCGGTTAGCCGAGTTAGCATTACAATCGAATCCACTGCATTCATTTACGTGCTAACACACTTTGGAAAGGTATTAATCCTATTTTTCTCCCTCCTGTTATGGGTAAATAGCAGGACAGACTGGGTTCTATAGCCTTGGATGGCAACTGGTCTAGGAGAAGGACAAATCTGAATTCAAAACTTGCGGAGGTTCGTTTTGGAACCTTGTGGCACTCAGTGCACCAGGTCTTTGTATTCGGCCCTTCAAAAAGTGTGGATGGTCCTGCACGAAACCTTCACCACTATAATCAAATCTCAAGTGTCGTTGTCGGGCTGTCGGTTTTCTGGAAACTGATATGCTTGACCCTCATACGTCGAGTAATTGAGTAGACGGAACACTTGGGGATCGTTGGAGGCTGTGCTAGCAAACCACAGGTGCGCTCTGTGTGCGGGTTTTGAACAAACACAAATTTGCCAGAGCGAGTGTCTGAATTAGGGATTGGCTAACAGTCCGAGTGGACGGGTATCCACGAATACGAGTGGCCAGCTATTATATATATATATATATATGTGTGTGTGTGTGTGTGATAAAAAATACATTTAATATGGGTTATAGTGCTGAAAATCAGGCATAGATCGTATGTAAATAAACATTGACGTCACCCGGAAGCGACAGTCAGTTTCATTGTAAACGCAATAGTCAGGATATATATATATATATATATATATATATATTTATATATATATATATCTGTCTGTGTGTGTAGTGTTTTGGCAGCAATCCCTCTTTTATACAGGTTTTGTTAAAGACGATTGACAAGATGGGGCAATGTAATCGTTTTGATAATCGTTTTTTACTAAATTTTTATTGTTTTCTTACGAGTGTTTTCACTTCGGGACACAAAGTATGTAAAACCTGCCCAAATGTTCTGTATACGCGACTATTTCTTTGAGCCAGTATGAAGGGCAACTTACTTTTTTTTTTTTTTTAATTTTTAACTGAATGTTTGAATTTTTATGAATGTGTCTGAAATTTATTTCCCAAACATTGTCAGTATATTCTGACCGTGTTCCCAGTTAATGTGATTGGCTGTGAATGTTATTGGATGATGTTTGGTAGGTTTTTACTACTTGAAGTTCGCTTGTACTATTCTTTATCTACCTGAGATTGTTCGTTTTTATTTATTTCATAAAACCGAAGATACCAATTGTAGTCTGTATTTTTGAAGTTCTCTCCCAAACGACCTTCTCACCAGAGCCTCGTTATCAATATTACCTTACTTTTTTTTTTTCTTACCAATTTCTCTTAATTTCTTTTGTTAACCTTTCATTCCTGTTCTTCTTGTCTATGATTATCATATTCCCTTTACTGCAAATTACTCTCCCAATTTTTGCTTTTATTTATTGTATTTTTAAATATCTATTGCCTCGTAAATTTGCCCCCATTATCAGTCCCGGAGGCGATATGATGTTCCAAATGACGGCATGAAAGCGTTGATTTAACAAATGTGTTTCTCTTTCTCTTGTTAGCATTCAACTCTTTGTTTTTTTTGTTCACCGATTTCCAAACGAAATGGCGAACTTCGTTATTTTTTCGTTTTTCTTTCTGGCTTTGGTATTTCGACTGATATTTTTTTCGCTTTTCTTGCCAGATTTTCACTCGAATTCTTAGGGTTTTGTTCTCATGAATGTGAATAATTTGATACTACGTTACTTTTTTTTTTTTTTAAATTCCTTCTTTTTATAGTCTTTTAATTTCGAATACACCTCAAACTTAATTTACCCCTTCTTATTATTCTGTCTTCACGAATGTCTTTCTTTCTTTTTTACTTTCTTTCTCAACTTGAAAAGGGTAATACACTTTCTTTATCTCTTTTTCTTTTTTTTTTCTTCCTTTCTTTCTCAATCATAAAATAATAATGAACTTTCTTTATTTCCCTCTCTCTTTCTTTTTTCTTTCTTTGTTTCTCAACCTTAAAGCGATAATACATTTTTCTTTCTTTCTTTCTTCCTTTCCTTCTTTCTTTCTTTCTTTCTTCCTTTCCTTCTTTCTTTCTTTCTTTCTTTCTTACTCAACCTTAAATGGATAATACACTGTGTTTGTTTCTTTCTTGCATACTTTTCTTTCTTTCTTTCTTTCTTTCTTTCTTTCTTTCTTTCTTTCTTTTCTCTTAACCGTAAAATGATAATACACTTTCTTTCTTTCTTTCTTTCTTTCTTTCTTTCTATCTTTCTTTCTTTCTTTCTTTCTTTCTTTCTTTCTTTCTTTCTCAGTCTTAAAAGGACAATACACTTTATTTAGTTCTTTCTTTCTTTCCCAACCTTAATAGGAGAATACACTTTCTTTCCTCATTTCTTTCTTCGTTTCTTTCTTTATTGACCTTAAAAGACTAATACCCTTTCTTTCTTTCTTTCTTTCTTTCTTTCTTTCTTTTAAAAGGATAATTCACTTTTGTTCTTTACATTCAAATTTTAGCCTGAATATTTTTACGTTTTTTTTCCTTCATTTTCTTTTCTTTCTCTCTTCGTCTCTCTACTTCTTTTCTCTCTCTTTCTCTCTCTCTCTCTCTCTCTCTCTCTCTGTCTCATCTCGTTTCTTTATCCTCCTTCTTTTCTCTTTCTTTATATCTTTCATTCTTTTCTTTTCTTTCTCATTTTAGCGTGAATAATATATATATATATATATATATATATATATATATATATATATATATATATATATATAAGTATTCAAGCAGCATATTTTCATTCAAGAAGATTTGGCTCAATAATTTAGATGTATTATGCTTATTTATTTTAGATTTAATCTTTTGAATTTCACGAATTAATGGCTGTAGAAAATTGATTAAGAAAAATACCAAAATTTTCTTTCAAATAATTTTTATTTTCCCAAGTATTTTCAATCTCATTTGGGACCATTTTCAAGCATATTCCAAAAATGGTGGGAACTAAAATAAGATGCTTGAAATGTCCGCAGGATCATCATACAAAATAAAAGAGTCTCAAATAGAAAAGTAGATATGATGAAACTAAATATAAGAGCAATGTTAGATGAGATTTCATGAAATTTAAATACTTCACCACAGAACTGAAGGAATATCAAGCAGAAATATGAAATTAAACTAGAAAATGAAATTCCGCAAATCAAGGAAATACTTAAACAGACTCTTCAATTGAAGGCAGAAGGAAAAAAAAGAATATGAAAAGCGCTGTAGGTTATGTCGACAAAATAAAATATTCCAAACGGACCTCAAGAATTTGTACAGGGAAATCGGAAAAGGTTATAGAAGTCAAAGAACCGCCAGCCATTGAAGAAGTGCAACATAATTTGGGAGAAATTTTTGTAGGGGATAAAACTGTACAAGAATATATCCAAGAATAATGTTAGGCAAACTCTAAGAAAATAAAGAAATATTAAAATCCCAGGAAATGGCAAGGTAACCTACTTTTAGGTCTTTCATCTGTCACCAATCCATAAAACCCGTGCACAAACATTATCAATGTTAAAATATAACTCCAATGAAATTTCACAATGGATCACTAAAGTTATTACATATCCCCGGTCAAAAACGGATGAAACTGATGATCCCAAAAAGTATAGACCAATAACATGTCTGTCCTCTACGTATAAATTGATAACGTCTGCCCTGATGAATTATACTTACTCTTTTCTGATGAAAACAACATTCTTATCCTGGAACAGAAGCGATGCCGAAAAGGTTAATATGTTTCCAGAGATTTGTTATTGATTATTCTGGAAAATTGCAGGAAAAAATTTAGAAATTTTAGCACAACTTAGATTACTATAAACCCTTTGACTCTAGGGTTGTTAATGCAAAGTCTCCTCCGTGATAGTAAATTTTTTTTAACTATAGTCTGGGACTGTGGAAAACCATATTATACCTAAATCATACCAAAGGCACTGCCACGTCCAATCGCTAGAATGACAGACGAGGATTCTTTTATGGTGAGTCCCTGTCATTCGTTCTGTTCTGTGCGTCCTTAACTCCACGTTTGCAAGAATTTAATTACAATAACTATGAATATAAAGTAAAGAAGAAAATATTTAATCACTTATTCTATATGGATGATACCAATCGTTTTGATGAAGGCGGCAATGAGTCGAAAGGTCTCCACAACACTGTAAAATGCTTCAGTGATGATAACGGCATAGATTAGATAAATGTGCAAAGGTAATATTCAAGAAATGGAGAATTACAGAAGCAGACTCAGTAGATATAGAATTTGTCACAAAGATTGAGGAACTGGAACAAGAAGAATTCTATAGATATCTAGCAGTCAACGAAGGAGGAAGGAATACAGGAGGAGAAATTACGAAAAGAATATTACAGGCGTGTGTGTCTGGTGTTAAATACTGACCTGGCTTCACTAAACAGAATATAAACGATAAATACTTTTTTTGTCCCTGCAGAGAAGAAGAAGTGGGAAAGAAAAAAATAAAGGTGAAAGAAGAAATAAGTAAAAAGAAAGCAAGGAAAGAAACAAGAAGGGCAATAAAGCAGGTATTGGGTCGGGGGAGAAAAGAAGGAAAAGCAGTTGGTCAAATAATGAAAAACAAAGTAAAATTTGAAGATAAAAAAGAAAAATATTAAATAGTAACAAGCGTAAAAGAACAAATTAATTATTATTATTATTATTATTATTATTATTATTATTATTATTATTGTGATGACGATAATAGTGATGAAGTAGACATTGGAAAAAAGGAGAAAAAAGTGAAAAATGTTTAATGAGTAGAAATGAGAAAGGAAGAAAGAAAACAAAAGAAATAGTTTGGTTTGATTTCTTTTTTGGTTTGGTTTGGTTATTGGTTTGGTATGGTTTGTTTTGTTTTTTTGGTTTGTATAAACCTCATTTCACTTTTCGTAACAAAATTACTGCTTTTACAAACAGATGTACACAACAGATTCATAAAATCAAAAGAAAATGGTTGAATACATCAACACAGATATAATGTCAATATTCTCCACACTGACGTTATTTTCAGTTAATATGAAAATAGCGTTTCTCTACATTCCAGTTGCTATTAACATTCTGTTTTTGTTTTTATTAGTTACCTTGTTAAATTATATTCATTTCGTATTTTGCTTTGATAAAGTCCACATTGCATGAAACGCGTCAGCAATTACAAGTTTTCCTATTGTCATTTTTTATTCATAAACCTTAATGTGTTATTGACTCTGTTCGACGTTGCTTAACTTCGCTGATCGGGCCAACGTGGTATGAACGTAAGCCATACCCCATCCGCACATCCAAGCTTACAGGTTGGGTTTGATTTGTTTTGTTTTACGGTATATCAATCTCAATAGGTTATTTAATGCCGAAAAGATTTTTATGATAGTTACGTACGATTGAAACATAAATTCTTTGTCAGAAATCTGTTTGTAGATTTGCTTTGTTTTATTTTGTTTGACGGCATATGAACCTCAATGGGTTATTTAATACCGACAAGATTTTTATGATGGATTCGTATGATTGAAATATCTATTCTTTGAAAAAAAAATGTGTTTGTAGATCAGGTTTCATTGACGTACTTTTGTAAAGAGGGTTTTTTGTAGAGTCTGGTGTTGTTTTAATTTGTTTTACGTCGTATATGATTCTCAATGACAAGATTTTTAGGATAGTTTTGTTTGAATAGAATATGTATTCTTTGTAAGAAATCTGTTTGTCGGAGACTTGCTTTGGCTCATTTTGTTTGACGGCATATGAACCTCAATGGGTTATTTTATACCGACAAGATTTTTAGGATAGGTACATATGATCAAAACATGTATTCTTTGAAAAAAAATGTGTTTGTCGATTAGGTTTCATTGACGTACTTTTGTAAAGACGTTTTTTTGTAGAGTCTGGTGTTGTTTTAATTTGTTTTACGTCACATATGATACTCAATAGGTTATTTAATGCCGACAAGATTTTTAGGATAAGTTTGTATGAATAGAATATGAATTCTTTGTAAAAAAAATCTGTTTGTAGATTAGGTTTAATTGACGTACTATTGTAAAGAGGGTTTTTTGTAGAGTCTGGTGTTGTTTTAATTTGTTTTACGTCGTATATGATCCTGAAAAGGTTATTTAATGCCGACAAGATTTTTAGGATAGGTATGTGTCAATAGAATATGTATTCTTCGTAAGATATCAGTTTGTAGATCAGGTTCCTTTGACATAATTTTATAAAGAGATTTTTTTGTAGAGAGAAAATGTATTGCTGGTAGTTTTACTATAAACATTTATTTTCATACTTTCATAGTGTTTTGACTCTAGTTTTTGGTGTTAACTATTTGCCCATAGCTGGGATCCTAACAGATGCTACAACCTCGTCAGTTTGGATCGAGGATCAGCAGCATTTAAGAGGTGTTTCATGTTCCGCCAAACATTCTGATTAGAGGCTTGCTGCTGGGATGTACCTATTGGTCATAAAGTCATCCCTACGTAATATATAATTTTCTATTTCAGATTGCTGACACGAACTCCCAAAGATTTGGAAGAGAGGATTACGGTGACAAGACTTTCGGACCACCTTGAAGTTTATCGCCATACCCAGGACGGGAGAAGACTGGTTAGGATCGATTAAATTGTTTGGATTTTTTCATGAATATCAATATGTACAATAGGAGCAGTATTTAATGCAAAGCTCGACTTATCTTCGTTGATTCTATGAGAACCAATGTTGCAACGTGATATGGCCGTAAGCCTGAGAAAAAGAGGCAGTAGACCGAACAAGGAAAAACAAAGAAATATGAGATGATAAAGATCAAAAAGAACATATTTTTTATATATAATAACAAGAATATAACAACAAAATAAAAAGCTGCCAAGATATATATATATATATATATATATATATATATATATATATATATATATATATATATATATATATATATTGGCGGAGAAGGGCAAAAACCGAAGGGAACCCCAAAGAGCGGATAAAAGACGAAGCGGTCTTCCTGCAAATTTAGTGATGACTGCATAATGGCCGCTAATTGGCGGGAAAGACATGGACCTTTGAAGTAACGTTTCACTTTTTCATTTATGTTTATCTTTTTCTATTTACCCTAGTTTTTTTTTTCCGTTCGATTTTTTTTCTATTCTTTTTTTTCCGATTTTTTTTTGTTTTTTCTCTTTGTTCTCACTTCCAACGCCAGATAATTCGCCTCCGATTAAATTCAAAGACGATATAAAATCTTTCGTCAGATCGAAAAACGGTTGATTTTCGGCAATATTGCATCGCGCCTCCCTCACAGTTCCCCACTTCGCAGTCTGTTTATCTCATTAGGCGAGACTACAGGGAGAGAAGCGAGGTAGGAAGGAAGGAAGGAAGGAAGGAAGGAAGGAAGAAAGAAAGAAAGAAAGAAAGAAAAGAGTGAGGTAAAGGAAGGAAGGGAGGCATTAAAGGAAGGAAGGAAGGAAGGATAGAAAGGAATGAAGGAAGGAAAGAAAGGGGAGGGAGAAAGGAAGGAGGAAAGTAGGAAGGAAGGGAGGAAAGAAGGAAGGGGAGGGAGGAAGAATGGAAATGAAGGAAGGAAAAAAGGGAGGAAAAGTAAGGAAGAGAGGCAGGAAAAGAAGGATAAAAGGAAGGAAGGAAGGAAGGAAGGAAGGAAGGAAGGAAGGAAGGTAAGGAAGGAAGGAAAGTGAGAAAA